AATATATCTACAAAGTTTCAGTACAGAACAGTTTACCTATCGCCCGAAAAAAAAATCACAAAAGAGGCCAGAAAAAATGACAGTCTAGACAGAAATGGGCCCTTAATAACGTGATTTCATCCGATAATATAATCTTAAATCATTAATCAGATTACGTTTCGCTCAGCTCCGGATAGGAACAGAGTTATAGTTCGTCCCAGTTAGCAGCCTAACCCGGTATAAGTACCCGGTATAAATCCGCCTAACTCGAGGACCCCGTGGTCTCATTACAGGTTTACCAACGCGGGCACGCGAAATCCTCCGATATTTAAAACGAAAACAAGGGAATATTAATCCAATTAATAAACATAAATTTCGATCGTTCATCGACACGATCAGGTGGTGAGAAGTCACCAGGTCGTCGAGATCGAACGTCGATTATTTCTCGTCGTTCTTTCGCGTGTTCCCTTTATTCGTTTATCGCGTGGACGTATGCAAAGCGATCCAAGATACTTTTCTACCCTTCGTATCGGCGAGGCCTGAAATCGCGACGGTGATACACGGGGTTCGTGAACCATTTGCTCTACCAGGTATCAGGCACCGAACCTGCAAAGATACTTCGAGGGGGGTGGACGAATGTTTGGCAGAATTTCAAACCTCTCATCCGCGACGGCAACTCCGTTCGCTGAGTAAGCAGAGTGGAACTGGCAAAGCAAAACATCGTAACGGGGCGCAACGATCGACGGCGAAATGTAAAGCAACGGATATTTCGCTGGCATGTTACCGAGACGTATGGTCGTTTCCCGCGGGCATTTTAATTTTTTATCGAACAGTCGAACGTCGAGAAACGTACGGATGGATACGAGCCGCCCAGAAACGTTCCCCGTCGTCAGCTTCGACCTTTTGTACGTTTTCGGGGCTTTCTCGGTTTGCTTCTATTTTTACTCGCCATTGAAGAGACAAGTGTTCAATGAAAAATTTTAAGGGGAGATTCTGGAGACCAAAATAAGACGAAAATCAAGAATAACAATTTGTTCATTGGGGCTTCGTTAAAAAGTTATTAACGCTTCAAGTTCCGCCTGTGCATCAGCTGCGCTCTTTAAACTTCAAACGTTAATAACTTTTTGACGGAGCCTCGATCAACAAATTGGTATTCTTGATTTTCGTCTTATTTTGGTCTCTAGAATCTCCCTTTAAAATTTTTCTCAGGCGTACCAACATTTGGAAACAAGTTGCATTTTTACAACGTAAAAAAACACACAAATAAAAGTCTTTGTGGTTTGTTAATTTGTATTTTATATGAAATGATACTTTAACAGATTGATCGTTGATTTAGATTCTTTGAATATATTTATGTGCTTATGTAATTTTAATTATGGTGTATGAAGTAATGTAACTTGTAGCTTAAATATTGTAGATCATTAAAAACTCGAATGAAAAGTATATTAGAAGAGAGATCCACGTTTCGAATAACTTCTCGATTTGTCTTCGTTTGCGAGGCTCGCCTTTGAAATAGTTTTTCGGTGATTGGCAACGTTGGGACGTCCAGTTTCGCGTTCGCGGAATAATAAAATTTGCCGCTGAAGCGTAGAATTATGATTAACGAGGCTGGGCGTTTCTATGCTTTTGATGCGCGCGACGGGCTCTCGAAAATTTTGCAGCTCGTTTTTCCGTCCGACGGGATTTTTTATTTAAATTCCGCTTTTGAATCTTCTCGAGTAATCGATATAATACCAGAAAGGTACGGAATAACATTTGATATTTACACGGAAGCGTGCGGTGTTTCGAGTGTGTATTATTTCCTCCGAGTAAAATTAATTCTGTTTTGTTAGTTCATCGAGGAGGAAAGTTTTCGATTATAGAAATTGAAATATTATTATTGTACCCGTGAAACGGACGGGGATCCACCAAAAATGCTGTTACGAAACTTCATCTATTATTCGATGTTATTCCTCGCGAGAGATTAAATTACGAATAACGTGTGTATGTGCTTTTGCAACGTGTTTTGTTCCTCGCTTCCGTGTATCATACTTTATTTAATTCTGCTTTCGATATCGAATAAAATTCTCTGATAATAACGATGTATCATTATTATTGTTTAGAGTTTCTGGATTCTGGAATTCAGTGAAACTGGTCAAGAATTGGTCCGACCAAAGTAGGCTGAGTCTGACCAATTATAGACTTGTTCCACTGAATTTCAGAAATTCTAAAATATAGCCAGAGGATTTAGACTCGACTGTCTCCGTCTGAAGTACAAAAATTTTCCAGCGAAATATAGAATAAAATTGAATATATATTGCGACTATTCGCGGTATTATATTCCGCAGAATATTACATTTTATCAAATGAAATAAGGAAATGGTCTCTCCCTTTCTTCTTCTAATACGATTAAAAACAATTTCGAAATTTGCAATATTTAATATGCTATATATTCTCAATTGTTTTGTTTTCATTTTACGCGTGGAATTTGTTTTATGACCGATCGAAGAAACATTTTATTTTTATTCTGCGTTCAATTATCTCTTATTCTTCTTTTGGTTTATTATACAATTGTATCGATACATTATTATATTATTTACTAAAGAAGACTGAATATAAAGCTTCCGGAGAGTTTTTGAAATGAATTTTATAATTTTTTTTCCTCACAAGCATGGTACTATTTTAACGATTAAAAATATTTTTAAATCGTTCGTGCAAGGTGTTTAGTCATTTCGAGGCCCGTGCATTGGATTTTTGGCGTCAGTTTCTCGCGAGTGAGCTTATATTTGCGCGAATGGGGGAGATTCATTAAAGAAAAGCTCTTACCTAGCTCTCTTATCTCTGCTCTTTTCGCGATGAAACGACGTCTCGTGCTCGTATCCGCTTCAGATAGGCAGGTGAACGTGCGAGAAAACGGGAAATCAGGGACGAGGGGCGGGGGCGGTCGGCCAGAAAGGAACAGGAAATGAAAATATAAGGGACCTAAAGGCGACGCAACGATAACCTCGTCACTCTGGTTTTCCCAGTTTCAGAGATAAAAGTCGATCGTACAGAAGCATTTTCAATTATTTCAAACTGATGGGTTTCATGCACGAATGTTGTTAAATTTGGCCAGAAGTTAATTGCACCAATATTTTCATAGAATTTATTAAAAACATTAAAAAGAAACGATTCATTATTTAGAAGAGAATTTTTCTCTGAATGGACTTACAATTTGACTCAAAATTACAATTTAAATACTTATTTTATGTTACTATTTTTGTAGTTTATAATATAGGGGGAAACCATTTTGTTCGCAGCCTATTATCGTATGTTAACACTTTGACGGCCGTTGTCACGTATACGTGACTTCGCGAGCTACTAGACAATGGCCACTGTCACGTGTGCGTGATCTACCGTATCAGTCACCATTTTATCGTACATTCAATTTGTTACGTTTGTTGAGGTTACATTTATAATTTCTAAAGTGTTAAGTAAGAAAAATATTACTGGTACATAGTAATTTTATTATTTTACTAGATATGTATTTTATTAAGATGATTCATTGGATGGTACGATAGAAATATCACAGCTCTCCTCGAACCTCGAAGGCTTCGATTTTTTTGAGCCGTGCAATCTAGGTGTAATACTGTTTTGAAAAAGTTCAACTTTCAGCCGCGGAGACTCGTAGCGCTTGAGTGCACTTCATAGGTCGCACTCCTGCTGACTTGCCGTTTTATTTTCCCGTTTTACGTTCACGGAGTCTTCTCACGTTTTTGGAATACGTATCTCGCAGGAGGAGAGTTCACGGAACGAGGAGATATCTTTTCTTTTATTCGACGCTGACGCCTGTTTCGTCGATCGATGCTCGTTTCGCGAATCTTGTATTTTTACAAAAACTATTCTAATTCTCGCGCGTTCTGTATTGAAAATCACAACACGGAGAATACGTTGTCTATGTTAAAAAAAATTCTGCATTAAAGCTCAAACCATCTTCAAACTTTATAATAATATTTGAAACTCAGTTTCAGGGTTATCTAAAAAATTATTTTTTTGCTACATTAAATTCACTTTCTCAAACAGCATATTTTCAGGGGGGTGAGAAAATAACTCTGTTTCCAAAATCAAAACACAGAGAATACAATGTCTATTCTAACACTAGAACTACCAAAGCACTCAAAATGACCCATTCGTAATTTCTAATAAGACTTGTTCAAAATTTATTCTACTGAATTTTTCAAAGTTTACTGCAATTTTCTATAAGAGAATGAGTATACATTTATTTCCATTGCATCATATATTTTTTCATGTATCCATCGTTTTAATTTCTTTGGTACAATAAATTCATTATAATTGTCGGTAATTCTAGTGTTAAAAAAATTCTGCATTAAAGCTCGAACCATCTTCAAGCTTTACAATAATATTTGAAACCCAGTTTCAGAGTTATCTAAAAAATTAGATTCACTTTCTCAGACGATAACGAGCCAGATTCGTGTTATTCACGTTTGACGTGAAATTGAACACGTGATATTCGAGTTTGGCCTAAAATTGTCGTCACAAGTCAGACTCGTGAAAATAATGCAAAGGGTTAACCCTTTGCACTCCGAATTATATTTGAATTTTGTTACCAGCAGCTTCCAACGTTTTTAAGTGTTTTATTTGAAATTTACGTTAGCTAAAAAGTAGGGCAAATTTAAACAAATAGAGGAAGAATCAAATTCAATTAAATATCTGTTTTATTTACATTATTGTTGTATTTTTTCATTTTCAAGTGTATGATATCTCCTTGGTTTGAATTTGAAACAATGACGACACTCGACATAGGTGTGCAAGGATTTAAGAGACAGTTAATTTCATTTAAAGAAATTCGAACGTTCTAATTGCCTTTTGTTCGCATTTCGTGCGAAACTAATCATTTTCAGCTACACGGGGGCCATTTAGAATCGAGAAGTCACGCGGTGTTATATCATATAGCGGGGGTTACACGGTCCCTTAAGGTTTTAAATTGCCCCGCGACTTTTTATCAGTTTTATTGGACTAACGTGTCCCTTCGTGTGTTCCAGGTCGTAATCGGAAATTATGAGGTGGCTGTGGATTATCGTCCTGATAGCTTTGGCGCTGCCGGCGGCCGTGCCGCGGAAGAAGCATCGCAGCAAACCAAGTAAAGTATCATTTATTTCAATCGTTATACCTCCATTTTCTTCCTTTTTTTCTCTGACAATTGCTCCTGGAATTTTGTTCCTCGAATTTTCGCAATATTTTCCTCGAATTCTTCTTGCATCGTACGGGGAATTGCTGGGCCCCTCGAGGTCTCCAAGAAATTCGTTTTATATGATATCGTTTGTAGTAAAAAAACACTAAGCTTTGCTAGAATCGAGAACAGTGCAGAATTTTACACGTGAAATCATATTCTTAATGATTTAGCAGTCGCGTAGATTCGATCGACCTTCGTAAATAGCCAATTTGTCGGATTCTACAGTTCATTTAATTACAAGTTAACGAGCTTCGAAGTTCCAAACGACAGGGTTCGAAGTTTAGCAGAGAAGACTACTGGGGTTTACATAGTGCTCGAAATGCTTCCCGATAGATCACTGTTCTAACGTTTAACCGCAGTTTTCGACGTCGAAACATCATAATTAGACCGCGAGCGGTTGAACTCTGGACGAATTAGTTTGGCCGAAATAAACACAAAATCAAACTGATATTGATACACAATATTCGATAAACTTGCAATAATATTACCGTGTAAAACTGATGGTCAATTTACATACGAATGTTTACGATTTTCGTTGCAATATTTACAAAAATCTCGAACAGCTAATGAAAAGTTTAATTAATTTCCCAGTTTATCATTTTGTTAGAACGCTAGAGGATAGGGAAACCACAAAAGTGCATAGAAATTGCAAACTTCTCGAAATTGGATTTTTCCTGCACAATAAATCCATCGCTGCGATAAATTTTAAATATGTGTCAAACAATTTTATTAAAAACAGCAAACGTTTCGAGTTTCGATTAAAACCGAGTAAATCTGTAACGTCTTAAATTGATCCTGAAAATATTTTCTAACGTGGTCAGATTTTGTTGTGGATAAAAAAGGAATACACAAGGTTATAGATTTTTCATGGTTGTCTATAAAACGATGGGAAGAAGGGTCTCGCGAGAACGCTCATTATGCACACCTGTTACGGCGGTTCTAAACTTCGTCTCTAATTTTGGGGTCTGAGAAAAACTAGTAATATAAAGTTGCTATAAACAACGCTGCCGCGTGCGCCAGTAGTTCTGCGAGAACTAGCATTCCACAATCTGCGAGTCAAATTTATGCGGGAAAAACGTGTACCGGGGGTATATGAAACGCGTCGCAAATTTTCTCGCGCAATAACGACGTTCCCTGCTCTCTGATATCGTCCACTTCGTAACACGTGGTCCTTTTTTGTCTTTGGTATTTCGTCTCTGTCGCGAAAACATAGTAAGAATTCTTAATGAAAGGGTGAAATCGAAGTTAACAGTTAAGACTGTCTTGTCTACAGAAAACTATATCGATTGGTCCTACCTCTTGGCCATTCCTGGACCTTTGATCTTGATATCAGCTTGACTGTTAACCATCGATGACTATACCAACTTAAAATTTCCCCTTAAATTCACCTTAAGATCCCCTTAAAATTTAATGCACGACCTCTTTGACATTTTGTTCCACAAAAAGTATGGATATTATAAATTACTTTCGTGATTGCACAAATTAAAAATCTTGTTGCAAGACTGTATTCTGTATCGATATTTTATTTGCAAACAGGTAATAATTAAAATGCAAGAAATAGTTGATACGAATACTTACTTTTAATAAATTCTGGCATTCTAATAGAATTTGGTATTCAAAATCGAAAACGTAGAGTAAAATTTATTCGTTCGAGGTATTGGTTTTATCAGAAAATTTTCGAGAGTTTTATTACAATTCGAATGAATGAAAATCGAAGTTCGATATACGTGCATATCCATCACGTTTAAACAATTTATAACAAGAAATTCTAATTTTTTTTTATAACTAATTTTACACGTGTAAACACGATGCAACGCACGCTCATGTATTTTCAAAACCGAAAAAATGTTATCACGATTTTGATTTGTTTTTGCTCGTAAAATGTTATCCAGATAATAAATTAATTACGTAAAATATCGATCGTATCCAGTAGAAATTTTGTTGAAAACAATTTTTAATATTTAAAAAGTTTTTACTTATTATAGTCAAGTTTGAAACAATTAAATTATAACGTTTGCAGGTATTGGAAATTGCTTAATTACGAATAAATTCTTGCTTTGTTTACCAGATGGCAGAGTTATTATCTCCGTTTATTACGTTGGCCTTATATTAATAGATAGAATTTCGAGCGAATTTTGGATACGAGCACACCGATTGCAGAGTTAAATTGTGACGTCGACTTGGCCTCGATGTAAACGCTGAAACTGATGGTTTAATTAATAAAATAACTCGTATGGCGTGAGAATAGAGCTTAAAGTATGATACAATTAACAGAGTGGTCTCCATCAATAGGTCGCAAGTGGTCGAGAACGACAGGTCTGTTCATGAAACTTCAATTATCATTACGAGAGAACGAACGAAATATTGAAACGATTTTCTAAAGTAACGGTCTCGCGATAACATCGGATTTTAATTAATTTTTTAAACAACACATATGCTACGGATTAAATCGCGCGTTGGATTTTCCAGAATAATTCCAATTAAATAAATCTGAAAATACCGTGGACCAATAAATTTTAAACATGTTTCTTCTGCCGGCAGATTAAAAATTCCTGAACTATTTTCCTGCAGAACAGGGCTTTTTAAATTGTGGGACGCAACCCCTCGGGGGATTTCGTTTAAGTCTTTCTGGGGAAGCAGAAAATGTTGGAAAACCTCGTCTTTTTTTAGTCTTCTGAAATACCAGAGCGTCTCATTCGTTCAGGAAAAGTATACTTACACGGTGGTTATTATTTTCTAATACACTTTCAATTTTTCTAATTAACTTTTAAATCTTAGATTTGCCTGAAATAAACTTATTAGTGTCGAAGATCTAACGGAACAAATATTTTTCCTGGCAGTTAAATCGATAATTGATGATTTAAAAATTGCAAGAAATATTGTTTAAAGTACAATTTTAAGTTGGTTATTCCCCTATTCTTCGAAATATTTCTCAAATGTTTTGTTTTATTCGAATGGCGCTGTTCCTGAACAGCTTTGAATCCTAATAAACGATTCTAAATTGTGCTCGCGGTCGACGAAATATTTTATTTCAATTTGTTAATTAGTTACTTATTAGTGTCGAAGATTTAACGGAACAAATATTTTTCCTGGCAGTTAAATCGATAATTGATGATTTAAAAATTGCAAGAAATATTGTTTAAAGTACAATTTTAAGTTGGTTATTCTCCCTATTCTTCGAAATATTTCTCAAATGTTTTGTTTTATTCGAATGGCGCTGTTCCTGAACAGCTTTGAATCCTAATAAACGATTCTAAATTGTGCTCGCGGTCGACGAAATATTTTATTTCAATTTGTTAATTAGTTACTTATTAGTGTCGAAGATTTAACGGAACAAATATTTTTCCTGGCAGTTAAATCGATAATTGATGATTTAAAAATTGCAAGAAATATTGTTTAAAGTACAGTTTTAAGTTGGTTATTCTCCCTATTCTCCGAAATATTTCTCAAATGTTTCGTTTTATTCGAATGGTGTTGTTTCAATTTGAGTCCTAATAAACGATTCTAAATTGTGCTCGCGGTCGACGAAATATTTTATTTCAATTTGTTAATTGGTTAATTCACCCCGGCGGGATTAAACAGCTATCGCAGTATCGCGCAACGATATCCTGAATTACTGGAAATTACGCTCGAACGAACCTATCTACATTGTCATTCGTAGCTAAGCACTTGAGCGTACGCAATGATAACTTGATCTCCTTGTAAATTACTCGCGACCCTAATTTATCGGCCAACCTACGAATTCGTGGGATCAGATGTTATCCACTTGTATCCTGATAAAATCTCGGCCGGAACAATCTCCGACCCTAATTTAACATTTGGACCGTACGGGATCAGCTTCTGCTAAAGTGAATAGCTCGCGCCCAGGTTAGGGTCAAACGCTTGATCCCACTCGGGGATTTGAAACAAAGTTCCCGGGGAAATTATTCATTGCTCGTGGATGTTTATCCTCCCGAGAACGAAGTCAGAGTTTCCCTTAAACGCAAGTTGGAATCTTAATTTTAAAATCGGGGCGCAAATGTACGATCTCGGAGAGTATATTTCTCGAAGAAATTCGAATCGAGGAATCGTTGTATACTTGTTCGAGGTTGGGAACGTTGCTAGGCTAGAAGGGAACCGTGATTAGACGTTCGATCTCTGGGAAGCAGGGATTCCACGACAGTGGTTGAAACCACCTAATGAAGATTATGGGATGTACTGGAGCAATATAGTGTGCATAATACGAGGACATTTACGGAGACCAAGGATTGCAGCAGTCATGGCGATCGAACGTTACGAAGCTTGCCTTGAATCCACGTCTATTCAAATAAATTGCGTCAAAAACTGATTAATAAAAGTATGATACAGTCAGTAATTTGTTAATGTTTGTTAAAATTTATGTTAAGAACCTTAATACTGTTCTGTGGAGAATAACAAATTTTTGTTTTGTTATATTTAATTCTCCACTATATTTAGTGACCCCCCAAAAATGTGAAATTTAAAGTAAATAAAAAGTAAAATCAAACGTTTTGAGTCCACTAATTATTTTGGCAATTTGCAAACCGAGCGCTTGTGGCAAGGTTACCTCAAGCTTTTTGTATCAACTATCAGTTCAGAAGTTATGGCAGTAACATATGATTCCTCGTTTATATCCAACAATATACGGGGTGTTCGACCAACCCTGAGAAAAATTTTAATGGGAGATTCTAGAGGCCAAAATAACAAGAAAATTGAGAATATCAATTTGTTGATTGAGGCTTCGTTAACAAGTTATTAAAAAATTTCAAATCGTTCTAAAAAAATTATTTTTAGTTGCGAGGGTCAATTACAATAATTTTTGGTAAATAGACATACACCCGAAATCCTACGCACTTTCGAGAAAAAAATTAGAATAGGTAGACAAATTTTTTGGCGAAATTAAAATATTTCAAATCATTCTGGAAAAATTATAGTAGGTTACAGGGGACAATTACAATCATTTTTGGTCAATACACATATCCACGAAATCCTACGCGTTTTCGAGAAAAAAATTCATTACCGAAAATGTGATGCCTGACCATACCATTGATATGTTTCACTGAAATTTCATGTGTTTCAAATCATTCTGAAAAAATTATTTTTAGTTGCAGGGATTAATTACAATCATTTTTGGTGAACACACATATACCCGAAATCCTATCCACTTTCGAGAAAAAAAATTCAGTAGCTGGACAAATTTTTCGGCGAAATTAAAAAATTTCAAATCATTCTGAAAAAATTATTTTTGGTTCCGGGAGTCAATTACAATCATTTTTGGTGAATAGACATGCATCCGAAATTCTACCCAGTTTCGAGAGAAAAATTCGAGTAGGTGCTGATATTTTTCGGCGAAATTAAAAAATTTGAAATCGTTCTGGAAAAATTATTTTTGGTTGCAGGGGTCAATTACAATCTTTTTTTGTCATTACACGTATCCCCGAAATCCTACTATATTTTCGAGAAAAAAATTCTTTACCGAAAATCTAATGCGAGGACAGAAATGCTTCCCTGAAATTTCATGCGAATCTTTAAAATGTTATAACTCCTGAACGCATTGGACGATTTTAATGTTTCAAAAATCAAACAACGCGTATTTCTGTGGAGAATATGTAGAAATTCTAACAATATTGAAAAAGTTGTTCCTTGACACTGTAAAATAAGAAAAACCCCCTAAAGCTGACCCAATTTTCAAACGGCCATAACTCCTACAATAGTAAAGGTGTCTTATTGAAATTTTTTTCTGAAGCAGAACTCTTAGATACCTACAAAAATGTATTAGACAACTTTTCTGTAGAACGTCAAACAAATTTATTAAAAATGAAAAACAAATTTTTAAGACAAATCGACAGGTGCCTAAATTTTTCGACGAAAAAAAATATTTCTCACGAATTTAGTAAATGGGTACAACTAAATGCACTGTTACTTAAACTGAATTTTTAAAAATGCACGTTTACAGAAATTGTTCCTCCCACGCGAATGAGATTTTTAGCTATTTTTCCCGTAGCCCGCGGGACTTAGTTTTCCATTAACGCGCGAACGAGTAGGCGATAATTTGATCGAAAGATCCCGTACGATGCCAGGGAGAATGCATTTCCAGTTGGCGTTTTCCGGTGGAAATTCTCTTTACTCGGGGACGAGGGGTCACACGTGGCGCCAGGTAGAAGGGTAAAGGGTATGAAAATAGAATGTTATTGCCCGTTTGGACGTACCCCCGTAGCCAGTCGATATTCCCCTTTTAAAGCGGACACTTGTTCCGCCGCGAAAGGGAAGGAAATGGAGCAACGCGTGCAGAGAGGACTTTTATTGACAACGAATATCGGTTATCGCGACGACGCTGAGAGGACACGTTTGCCTTTGCTTTCAGTGCCGAGGCTCTACGGCGAAAGGGTGCCCTTCCAGTCAATCAGAATCAGCAACAGCAACGTCCAACAGACCATCGTCGACACTCACAACTACTATCGTTCCAAAGTCAAACCATCGGCCGCTAACATGCTCGAAATGGTGAGTTCTCGACCAGTTTAGAATTTCTTTCCAAACTATAGTCTTCTACGGAACTATCAAAACCAAAGTTTAAAAGATTTATAGTCTGTAAAACGACGGAAACTTAATTTAAACAATGACCAAATAGTTTTTAACATGTCGTATATCCTCGTTTGATGATTTAAAAATAAATTGCGGGGAAACTAATTTCACCAGCGCCCGGGGACCGAAATGCTCGAAATTTTGAAATTCAACACGCGCGTTCGATGCAGTTTTCCTCGTAAACGTACAACCAGCATAAAATAGTACTATCCCGTCCCGTTCGTCGCGAGCACCGTCCCTTTGAAGTGCGTCGCAGCGAAGGGATTAATGATTTATTCATAGTGTCGGATGCTTTGCTACAAAGGGCATATTAGTCTAGTATTCGTTCTCATCTTTCGACTATTATCCTTCGTAAAGCGAATACGATTACGCATTCATGCGCGCCCCATTACCTGCCAAAACGAGAAACTAGCGTAAACAATAACGTGAAATTAATCCTTCTCGTTCAGAGACACGTAAACCACACAATACTAAATATAAAACATTGATAAACAAAGTTGTTGGCAATATTACAAAAGAAAATTATTCCTAGTTTTATATTCATAAAGAATGTTCGGTCAGCCATGATAAAAATTGTAATGGGAGATTCTAGAGGACAAAATAAGACGAAAATCAAGAATAACAATTTGTTGATTGTGGCTTTGTTTAAAAGTTATCAACGTTCAAAGTTCCGCCTGTAGAACGGCGCGTGTTAGTGGCTCTCACTCAGCATGAGAGGAACTTCAAACGTTAATAACTTTTTGACGAAGCCTCAATCAACAAATGGTTATTCTTGATTTTCGTCTTATTTTGCTCTCTAGAATCTCCCATTAAAATTTTTCCCAGGTCGAACACTCTTTTTGACCAAGGGTGGACATTTTCGAATAGTTTTTTAAGCTCTTTTAAATCCACACGTCGTATTTTCACAAAATTGTGCCCCTGTCTCTGGCCAGATTTTGCGTTGTTGTGTCAACAATATCTCGCTCGAACGTCATTCAACGTCCAGCATTCGGAACGTTAGCGTCCACTCCGTGAATCGACGAGAAATTGTATTTGGGATTGACAATTGGGGGAAAAGTGTCCCTTTCGAGATGCTCGCGTTAACCGACATCGAGGTTCGTCGACCGTCCGTGAACACGACCTTTTGCATCGGGAGAATATAGTCTCGAGCGCATTACGGGCTCATAACCCCTGAAAGACGGATGACGCGAACCGTTTCAACCCTTCAGCCGGCGCGATCGGTCTTTTTCGCCTGGCTTTGAAGTTCCATCGATTCCGTAGGATTCCCCGGCGAAATCCCGCGACGCGGATACCGTGGGTAATTTTCGAGCACTCCTTCGGATGGAATCGGGGGATTCGTCGGGCTTTCGTTCCGTGGAAATTACGTTCGCCCTTAACGCGATCGGTTCGGCCGAGATTTCCGTTGAAAGGGACGTCCCCCGTGCACCCGGGGGGGGCTTTCGCGAATGAAAATTGGGTGGGATCGTTCCTTTGCTCCCCGAGGTCTGTTCTAGCCAGGTAACTTTAAAAGTTTAGTAAATTTCGGGAGAAAAATACTCTTAACGCGTTGCACTTCCAGAACGAACCCCTCAAATTTTTGGACAATTGGAAACTAGGCACAATTTATCATTGAACTTAGTTTCTTTGACATACGATCTTAAGAATTAATCTTTTTGAGCTCCTCGATGAGAAATTGTGTCATCCATCTTGAAAAGTGGAAAATATTTGAGAGAAAAATTAAATTCGACATGTGAAAATTATTGTGTTTTTTCGAGACGGAATCGTATATTTTTTAATCATTATTCGATGTAGCTAGTAGTTTCGAAAGGAAAACTATTGTATTATTAATTTTTATATTATTAATTGCCTGTCTATATATCTTAATTTGAAATAAGTTTAATCTCTTACGAAAAAGAGATCGAAATCCCTTTGGTTCCATCGTAAGATTGGAAATTACTTTCGTATCATGTTTATCCCGGTGAAACTGGCATTAAACTTTACGCACGAACTGCAGTTTACATAATCAAGAGTCTGGAACTACTTCCAGTATAAACAATGTCGTTTCCCTTCGATTTTATTGGTCGGTTTCGGTAATGGGATGGAAGTTTCGTTTGGGAATCTTTAGTATCGTACGTTATAGAGTAACTGCACGGTCATAGGATTTTACAAAACTACCCACTAACAATTGAACGAACGAACGAATATAACTCGAGCTCACTTTGTGTATTCGTTACTTGTTTCAATAATTTATCGCTTCTGTTGTACTTTATAATTATCTAACAAGATTCATAAAATGTCCCAAAACTCGATCAATAAAGCACTGTACGTTTACAAATTATTAACGATACACGTAACAACCGATCTTCAATTTCCTTGGATAAAACGTATCGTTGGCTCGAGAAGATATGACAGGAATTATTCCAATATTTTTTCAAGAGTTCGAGGGACCAGGGTGGACGCGAAAATTCCATTAAAACCGTGCGCGAAAATGACGTTCCCGGTGCCAACGGCATTAGCAAATAAAGGGTTAAACTCGTTGGAACGTCGCTTTCCTTTGTGCCTTTCCCGCGGTTCGTTAGTCGGCGCGACAAAAGCAACGGGTTGTTTTTCGACGAAAGAGAACACCGGAGCCGGGCTACGCAGCTCATTGCCTCCGCGGAAGGGGATTTGTCTCGTGCGAGGAGAACACGGTCGTTAGGTGGCCGCGTTACAGATGTTTCCACTCGTTCAAACGGTCAACGATTCGCTTGGAACGCTTTTAAATGCCGTTCGAAATTCCTCGCCGAGCCAACGAAACGTTCCTCTGACTTCGAAGCTGTCGCACTTCATCAAGTAGGAGGAAATAATCGAATATCGTTGGTTCCGTTAGCGCGCTCGATTTTCCACGAATATCTTATTGGACACTAGGATGTACTTCAAACAAACTCGAGAACACACAGATAATTATAGGGTACTCTATTTAACACTAAACCTACTGGCACTTCATGTATACCCATTCCTACCATGACTTTTCTTTTTGTTTTTTAGCGAGGCAACGTACTTTGCAATATACATTATATGTAAAGAAAGTTGTGTTTTTATGTTTATTCGTAAGATATTTTTCTCTTTTAGGTTAAAAAATTGTTCACTTTTCATCGAATAGAAGATAAAACGTCCTTGAAAACGAATTTTGTTCCAAGTAGTTAGTTCTAGAGAAAATAACTATCTAAGAAAAAATGCTGGCTAGTAACTACGCAAATTGTATTTAAAATTAAGTTAATTTTCAATTAAATAAACAATTTATGGTCCAGTTTTATCGTACACTAATCGTACGATCAGTAGGAATTGCTGAAACTTCGTTTGGAATGTAGCGTCAAAGTAAATGTGAAAATAAACATAGAAGATAGCAAAAATTATAGTAGGTGGTATAGTCATTGGATAGAGGATGAAATGCCCTTTAAAATGAGCGTTTGTACGAGTCGATAGCTTTATTAGTTCCGGAGATATGAGGATTTTAATTTCAAGTCGATGCGGTGGCTAGTTACGGAGATACGACGGTCCGAAGCGTTTGTTTACGTTCCATTGTTTACGTCGCGAGATGAATGAACTCACGTGACCGTAGTAAGTAGTAAACGTGACGTAACTAGGTCACTCGGTCGCGAGTCACGTGCGAGAAAGAGAGGTCCCGCGCGACGGGTCAGACGGAGACAGCGATAGTCGAATTAAGAAAAATTACATTTTACATAAATTACGATATCTCCGAAACGGTAAGTCCGATCGACAAAAACGAAAAGCCATTTTAAAGAGGAAGGTTTGCCGCTGCTAACAGTGGTTCAAAAATGGATAAAGCACTAGTAGTTTCGGAACTGCACGCGTCTAAAGTTTTAGTATTTTTAATACGCGTTAATAGGCTTTCGTAAGACGGAGAGCACGTGGACAGTGGAATGTACAAAATTACCTTTTACATAAATTACGATATCTCCGGAACGGAAAGTCCGATCGACAAAAACGAAAAGCCATTTTAAAGAGGAAGCCTTGCCGCTTCTAACAATGGCTTAATAATTAATAAAATATCAGTAATTTCGGAACTGCACGCGTGTAAAGTTTAACTATTTTTAGTATGCTTTGTTAGACTGTTCTGAGGCACTGGAAACTGAAAATTCTCTTCTTTCGTCTTTGCTATACATATATTAACTAATTACATTGGAAGCTAACCAGAATTTTATACCAAATTCTGTCCAGTTCAAATGTAATACATATTTTTCTCAGAAAACAAATAATAAGATCAGAAGTGAATATTGTAAAATTCATTCTACATATATATCAGAAAAAATTCGTTCGATTAAAAAACCATCATCAGATATACATGTATAATATTACATAGCAAAGATTAATTATATATATGCAAATCTAACGTCTCAAACTATACGTGAGATATAATTAAATGAAAAACGATTTCTCGAAGTTCGATTTTTAGGAAATCTCGATTATAGACGACTCGATATAAATTCTATTCCCGAATCGATCGACCCAGACACGAAGGAAGTACCAACATCGCGGGTCATTAAATGGGTTATTGAATTCCGTGAAAATATTAATCCAACGAACTCTAACAGAAGTAGGAGCCAGTCTCCGATAACCATTAGCAGTTGATGCAATTATAAATATATCCAACAAGGGGAAAGAACATTCTGGTAAGTCTGCAAATGCGAACGTCGGTGCGCAATAACGGTAAAAGCAATATAATTTAATTCTTGGATCGTCCCCGAACGGCGTAACATGTATTTCGTCCGACGGCTCGGAAAACTTTCCTCGATAATTGGACTTTGATTAAAATTAAACGGCAAAAATGTAGCAGCTTGTTATCCGCGGGAAACGTTTCGCGGATTCCGTCGCGCGATAGTTGGAGTCGCGAGGTTTCGCCAGTTCGATTAAAGCTAACTGGCAAATTCGCGAACGCTTGTTATCGGTTAAATAATTAGGCGAAATTTATTCAGTCCACGATTACATTTTTGTAAAATACATTACAAAATACATTACAAAATACAATACAAAATACATTACAAAAGATATTACAAAATATATTACAAAATACATTACAAAATACATACATTTTGCAAATTTTTTCTACGACACCTGGTACTGCTGTTAATTTCATCGAAATAATACGATATAAAATATTAGAATATTATTAAATTTTTTAATAATAAAAGAATCGTGAATTCTCGAGTTAAAAATACACTTGTCCAAAGATCGTATTAGTTTGCCATTGTGAAGCATTTTTCAAGTTTTACGAAACCGATTACGCGTTTAGACGCTACAGCGGGTAAAAGATTGTTTAAATTGCATTAACAAAGGAGACCCGAACACAGCGAAGCTGGGAGTCGAGGCGCTTAACTGGATGCAATTAGTCTAATTGTCTGGAGTCCATTTAACCGAAATAATTGCATTGCATCGCGAACAGAGCGCGTTAATAGAAACACTGGTGCAATTAATAACTGAGACAGGGGAGATCTAATTTTGAAATAAAGCGACGCGATTTCAGTCGATTTCAAGACGCTTCCGACCGAAGATCAAAACAAAATTATTAACGAAAATAAATTAATCTATTTAAGAATCCTGAAATTCTTTCAAATCTCGAAAGTATAATTTCTTGGTGTATTTAACAAATTAAATGCATAAATAAAAACGAGCAGCGTGGACAGATTGTCGGAAGTTCAGATGCTTCGAAGGCAGTGAAAACTTTCGAAAGAATCCCCTTTAAGCCTTTTCGAACCTTTCTGAAACTTTTCAGACCAAGTATTTATGAAGTTTCGAGGCTTTGTAGATTACGTGGACTTTTAAGCGTATTTCAGTCTCGCGGAGTGGCCACAATATCAACCGAAAGCGTCGAAGTCGTCCACCCGTGTCGACTTTTGTTTCATCTCGGTGGATTTCGTTTGTCTGGGCTGTTTTCGAGCCGAGTCGGACGAGGTTCGTTACGGGCGGATCGGAGGCAAGACGACCGCGCTATCAAGCTGTTTATACAGCGCCTGTATACTTTCGCGAGGGGAGTTGCATTTTAAACGGCCTCATAAAAATTTATCGGGTCGTCTCCGTACGCGCGTAGAATCCATCCATTAAACTTAGCCCACGTCGCGGAGGATGCATCGACGAGTCGAAATTTTGTAATCGCGAGAAATGGATGTTTCACGTCTGTGGTTAAACGATAGAAAATAAAAGGTATCGCGAACGAAACAAAGTCGAAAGAGTGATTTTATGGAAAATCAAAGTGTCCAGACAGTTTATGCTTTTTTTTCTTTTTGTACGTGGGGAAATCCTCATAGTTAAGCACACTTTTAACCCACGCATTTCACTGTAACGAACATCTGTTTATATTTATCGCGCATAATTGTTATAGGATCTATTTTAAATAAACCCGAGAACACACAGATAATTATGTATTACTGTATTTAATAAGGGAAATATAGATTTGATCGTATCACTGGCGCCAAGACCGCGAATATTAAACACTGTCTAATAATAATCAAGTTCAACCATACGAATAGTTCCCTCGTCATTGTCATAATCTTCAACGGGTATAGTGTTCGCGAATTTACGAGTCTCAAGGGGAAACTTGTCCCCGCAGAAGCGTCGGTTGTGAGACACCTTAACACCCTTTCGACGTAAAGATGCAATATCGCACCGTCTCGAAGAGTTATAAATTTTTATGAGAGAACTTGGCTCGCAACTGCTACGATACACGGCGCTCATTGACCGTGGATATTAACAACAAATAATAAAATATAGATTGAAATAGAAATTTATGCGAATATTAACCCTTTGAGGTCTCGGTCTTTGCATACGCTGAATCAAGGAATTTCGTAGAAAAATTGTAATGGGAGATTCTAGAGGCCAAAATAAGACGAAAATCAGGAATACAAATTTATTAATGGAGGCTTCGTTAAAAAGTTATTAACGTTTAAAGTTCCGTCCTTCCTGAATTTTTTTCTCGAAAGTGGGTAGGATTTCGAGGGTATGTCTATTCACCAAAAATGGTTGTATTTGATCCCAGAATCTAGGAATAATTTTTTCAAAATGATTTGAAATATTTTTTTCCCCTTGAAAAATTTAAGCACTTGACGATTTTTCTTAAAAATTTGTTTTTCATTTTTAATACATTTGTTTGACGCCCGACAGAAAAGTTGTCTAATACTTTTTTGTAGGTACCCAAGGGTTCTGCTTCAGAAAAAAATTTCAATGAGATATCTTTACTATTGTAAGAGTTATGGCCATTTGAAAATTGGACCAGTTCTAGGGGATTTTTCTCACTTTACAGGGTCAAGGAACAACTTTTTCAATATTGTTAGAATTTCTACATATTCTCCACTGAAATACGCGTTGTTTGCATTTTGAAACATTAAAATCGTCCAATCCGTTCAACAGTTATGATGTTTTAAAGATACGCATGAAAATTCAGTGAAACGTATCAATGGTATGGTCAGACATCACATTTTCGGTAATGAATTTTTTTCTCGAAAACGCGTAGGAATTCGAAGGTACGTCCATTCACCAAAAATGCCTGTAATTGACCCCTGGAACTAAATATAATTTTTTTAGTATGATTTGAAATTTTTTAATTTCGTCTAAAAATTTCAGTTACTCGAATTTTTTTCTCGAAAATGCACAGGAATTCGGGGGTATATCTATTCACCAAAAATGCTTATAATTGACCCCCACAACCGAACATAATTTTTCCAGAATGATTTGAAATTTTTTAATTTAATTTTTTAATAAATTTTTAACGAAGCCTCAGTCAAGAAAATTGAAATTTTAAAATTAAAATTTTCCCATTAAAATTTTTCCCAAACCGAACACCCTGTATATTAATACAAATTATATTCCTTGATACATTCCTTATTTTAATACTTGACGACCAACGTTTATACTAGTTCATATCATTACATAAATATAATTATCAGAAAGTCTATTGTTTAATTCTGAAAAAAAATTACTGTTTCAGAAGTGGCATTCTGGTTTGTCCGAGGCAGCGCAGAAATGGGCTAATCAGTGCCCCGGGCTGGTGCACGACAATGCAGCTGGTTTATATTTGAACGGTTTTGGGGAGAGTGGACAAAATATCTTCATTACGACGGATCGAACGCTCTGGTAAATTTCGAACAATTTTTACTTTTCCGCTAACTGTGAAAATATTTGTATCAGACGACCGTGTTGTAGATTGTATTTTTGTTTTTAAATACTTTGTAGATCTCTCATTGGAGATTCTACTTTTAAACGCCGTTTGCAGGATTCGTTCATTTTCTGGATAGTAGATTCATCAGCCGCAGATGATTGTTTCGCGGTGCTCGAGCAACCGCGGAACTCTGGCGCACGGAGCGCAGAATTCCGGGCTACCAGATATTGTGAAATACCGGTGAGAACCAGAGTCTCCATTTCCGCTGAATTGGTCCGTCGATACGTTACGGATTCAATGAATTTTTCGTCTTTCCGCGCTGTCACCGCTGTTTAAAAATTCCGTTGCATCTGTGTTCGGATTGGTTGTTCCCAATATTACGAATTCATCACAATTTTTCGAAAACAAGTAATTCCTAATGGAAGAATTTATTTATCGTAATATATAGAATGGTTAACAAAAAAAATATAATTTCTTCCTTAAGGTTGTTTTTCTCAAAACTTTGAGTCTTTTTAGTATTTTTGAGGAAACCATGTTTTTAATTCCGTATAAAGTTTGTGGTGCAGGGAAAATTGTTTGACTATTTTTATATATATATTTATACTATATTCTATACATATATTTATACTATATTTTATACATATATTTATACTATATTTTATACATGGTTGTCTTTGGACCAGCAACAAATAAAATGAGATTGTATATAGGGTGGTTAACAACAAAAATATAATTCCTTCCTCGAGATAGTTCTTCTCAAAACTTTGAGTCTTTTTAATATTTTTGAAGGTGTCATATTTTTAATTCCATATAAAGCTTGTGAGAAAATTGTTTGACTATTTTTGAGATTATATAGATAGTTTGAGGTATTATAAAGAAGACGATTCGATAATTTTTGGTTACGATATTTACACTGTTCCATTTCGAATATAGAATTGGTTTCAGAGAAACGATCGTTCTATTATCCAAACGTGTTTTTCCAGGAACAGTCACGTATCCTGTTCGAAGCAGGTAATGGAAAGTTCTACCCGCAGGTCTATTTCTGGCGGACCAATCCGTTAGTCGACTACCATAGCGTTTCAGTGGAGGAGCCTATTATTGCTCAGACACGGAAGTTTCGAACGATTCGGAATTACAATTCGCTATTGTTCTATTTCTGTCTAACGATAACTCGTTTTCGCACTGGCTGGTCTCCTCGGGGAACCACCTGTTGACGTTCGGTGAACAATTGTCGCCGATGTCGCTTCCGCGTCTTCTGCTTCGCGAACAATGCCGCCAGAACTGTGGGTGTGCCTTCTTTTTCCTTTCTAATTGATCCCGTTTCACTCTTTCAAACAGATCGTCTCTTCTTCCAGTAGGAGTACCAAAATACTAGGTGTAGTCGAACTCGAGATTAATTATTTCCCAGAGTCAAAATTCAATAGCTCAATTTGCTAATACACGTAAAATTTAGGAACTTCCATAAAGCTTTTTAAATCGAATGCACCACGTCTAACGTTGTGATTCTTTCTTGTAGTTTATGCAACTATATTTCAGTCATACATTCACATTTTTTATACAGTTTTAAGCAATTGTTTTTTTTTATCTCCCTCACCTGGGATGAGATAGATCTGAGTTTTCAGTGTGGTCCAAAACAAAAAAAAAAATTGTATGATATGTCTAAGGGGAGAGACTCAATTAAAATGTTGAATCGAGAATTGATATTTGGCAATTTTTTTATTACACAAGACCTCTTCTTTCCAACATATATTCTTCAACGTTTTAAGATTCAATAATTTTTTTTCTCGACCCAATATTTTGACCCAATATTGTGGAGATTTTCTCGACACGTTAGCGCGATTATTGATTCGATTGATACGTTTTCTGTCCAGGAATTTCGCCATCAGAATGTGGTTCATGGAGTACAAAGACTACAAATACGGATTAGACAATTGGAGCAACTTCCACAAAATCGGCCACTACACCCAGATCGCGTGGGCCTCGACGCATCTGGTGGGATGTGGCGTGAACCACTGCACCGGGGGCGGTGGTCCCCTGGGGAAGGACTACTACATGTACGTGTGCAACTACGCCCCTGGGTGAGTGCATCGACTCGAAGAAACGCGCAGCAACGGAAGCGTTAATCAGGCGCGTCGAATTTAGTTTCGCGCGAACGATGACCCCGGAAGCGTCGTTTCTGGGTAGCAGAAGCTTATTTCCGGGTGGTCGTGGGGTGTGATTCTCTCCCCCACTCCATTATATGGATGTTTACTCCACCACCGAGAGAAGTTCATTTTATATCGGTTACGAGATAGCCCGGTTACGCGCGAAAGCGGTTCGCCGTGAGAATAACAATCGCGACGCGAGCTTTTACGGGGATTACCGTGCAATTGAAAGATACAGCGTGTTTGCGTGGGACGTAACGCCGCGCGTGCTCTTCGAAACGGCGCGAACGTTCGCTGGATTTTCGTATTCCGCCGCAGCGCTGGTTTAATCTTACGCTCGCGCGGTTAGGAGTCGTTAAAAGTCGGAATGTTCGCGGGTATCGTCGAGCAACAAATCCGTATTACGCCCCTTAGGGGGTTAGTTGGATTTTGTTTACCGAGAAAACGGGGTGAGGAGTTTGTTCGTCATTCGAAACTGCCTCTGGAGCAAAGTTTGGTCGATTGGAAGTAGCCTTGTTCTCTTGTACAGGGTGTTCGTCCACTGGGAAAAATTTTATTGGGAGATTATAGAGAAGAGGCCAAAATAAGACGAAAAAGAAGAGTAACAATTTGTTGATCGAGGCTTCGTTGAAAAGTTATTAACGTTTAAAGCTCCGACTGTAGAACGGCGCGTGGTAGTGGCGCTCACTCAGCATGAGACACTCTTAAACGTTAATAACTTCTTAATGAAGCCTCGATTGACAAATTGTTATTCTTGATTTTCGTCTTATTTTGGTCTTTAGAATCTCCCATTAAAATTTTTCTCATTATTTCTTTATTTTACCTTGCAGTGACACGCTTACTAAATAACAAACAACTGTATTGGTGATGGATGACTTTGATATCGAGGGAGAAGTAGCGAATATTAACTGTTCATACAGCAGAACGAATGATCAGCTCCTGATTGAAAATTGCCTCCGCGTCAGACAAGACGAATTAATACTTCGAACTTAAATACGAAAGCCCTCGTCGGGCGTGTGAAATTCGAAACTGGTTGCAGCAAGGTTATTCCATTAAATACGGTCGAAAGTTGCAAACTTTGTTTTAACGCGTAACGCTCGTGACTTGTTATTCGAGAATTGCATTAAATTGTCGGGACTGTAAACGGAGAAAACGCTGAATTTATAAACTGTTTATTTGTGAAATACTTTTATTTTAATTTTATTTGAATTATAATCCTGAGAGTAGAAGTCGTCGATGATATGCTCTGTAATCGTAAAATAAATGAATAGAAATATGGGTAGATAGGCAGATGAGCTTTTGCTACTCTCGAGATTGAAATTTTTTATTTGGGTGCTGAACTATGTAATTTTATTCGAATTATAAATCTAAGAAAAACAGTTGTCGATGATAGGCTCTATAATTGGCTTCAGATTTAGTTGGTAAATTACTTAACAGTAAATGATAGGTGAATAAATGATTAAAAATATAGATGGAAAGGGGGATGAATTTCTGCTACTCTCGAGATTTAAATTTTTTATTTGGGTGTACTATGTAATTTTATTTTAGATTTAGTTGATAAATTATTTAACAATAAAAGTGGTAGATGGACAAATAAATAGAAATATAGATGCAAAGGGGGATGAATTTTTGCCACTCACGTGATTAAAATTCTTTATTCGAGTGCACGGTCATAGTTTATAGGCTAAAATGGAAACTGATCGAATTGTTTCTTTGAAATTCGTTGCAACAGCGAAACGCGCAATGTAACAGTGGCCTGCGAAAGAACCACTTGTCGGGGGAACAAAAAGAACGCGGAAAGCGAGCAGCTAAAGCAAACGCAATACAGTGCGGACTACCAACTATACGCTCGTCTATGAGGAGCTGAAGCACCTTGTATGTATTCCCTTCGCTTCTCGCGATTGCTCTTCTGCGCGCGTACCACCGTGACCGTACATTTTCATTCCCGAGTTTCCGTTATTTTCACTGGGATTCGCGATTTAGTTGTTATGCTAACGCACAGAACACGGGATACTCGCTTTTATTTTGATCGTGAAAATTCCCATTTCGACCGGATTACGCTGTAAACAGGCTTCTAAGTTTCATACACATAGATTTTATTTCTATTACGAATTAATAATTGTGTATTTTCATTCACTCTATCTATGCTCGAGATTCACAAATACTTTATCATCGTCGAGTTAATTTGATCGATTTGTCCATCGTTTAACCTCTTCAACGCCTTTGATCACATATGTGGACGTTTAGTTTTTTATAATTACACTTACTATCAATAATAAATTGACCAAAATTTTCACTAGAGATTATAAAAAAGAAAAGTCGTTCCTGAAGAGGTTAAAGCTTTCTTTAACATCCTCTGTGGCGTTAACTCTCGGAACTCGTCACCAGAGGGCTACGCTCTCGTCTCTCTCGCAAGCGCTTACCCGATTAAGCCCACCGATCGGTCAGAATAGCAAACCAAGCAATTATCGCGTACTGGTCGTAATCAGGCCGTCAGAAATTTATGCTTGCCGGTCATAGTAATCGAAAAGTTCGCCTGGCGAGTCCCGCGATACGCGAGGGCCCACGGGAGAAGCATAATCCGGAAAATTGCGGACGAGAAACAAATTTATGACGGCACTCGACGCGAAACAGAAGAGAAGAGAAGAGGCAGACCGGGGTCGTCGTAATTTAAATTCTCATCGTTCGTCTTTTTCGTCGACGCGGTGGAAAAATATCGCGCGCACGCGCCCGGGGAGGGATAAACAGAGAACCAAAACGAGGACGAGAGACCCGTGGAAACGAAGTTAGCCGGGAAATCAAGACGAAGAATCGCGAGAAGGTGAAATAAAAAATGAAAATAAAAGCGCCCCGTTACGAGTTTGAAAGCCGATCCCGTGAAGCTGCGCGAACGTAGAAGAGGAAAATGGCGGAGTGATTAGAGCTTGGGGGGGGTGGGGGGAGTGAATAGAGCGATAAAGTGTGCAGAAACGAGGCGGTGGGGGGAGGGTCGAGCGGATAAAGGAACGCAGGACGGGATACTCTGACAGTTAGGGGATCGCAAATAGAAATGCAGGCCCCGGTGGATTCAAAAGGTCCTCGAAGACGTCGACGCCCGGAAATCGCGGTGACCTCAACGTTAGGGGCGGAAGAATTTACAGGGTGGCCCATTGGGATAGTGATCCCTCGATATCATTGTCATTGTAAATAATAGAAAGAAGCTTTGCTGATAAAAATTGTATTCGATGTTCCAGAATCACATTGAAAATTGACTAATTTAATAGAAACTGTACTTTGAAATTAAGTATCGTATTTGTGGTTGCAAAAGCCTGCAGGATGTTATATTTGCGTCCAAAGTATTAAATACTAAATTTCAGGAATATTTATAAAATATTTGCAAGGTACTTAAAATTCTACAAAAAACTATATAACATATTATGTCTGAACGCAGTGATTTTCATCCCCAGTAATTTAAAAGCGTGTAATTCGATTTAGAAACGGAGTTAAAAATACGAGACCGACAAATTTGCAGATTTATTTATACAAACAGACGTCTCGAGTTTAGTGGAGCACCCTGTAGAGAGAGTAGGGCACCGGAGCAGAAGGGAAACAGGAAATCGGAGGGAAAAATGAAGGAAGCTCGCGATAAAGCGTCGGGAACATGTCACCGTGAATATCGTTCGGAGGACAATGGATCTCTCTGAATGGATTTAATGCTCCGTTCGAAGGTAGGCCGTGCCCGGCGTCCCATAAAATCGCATAGTCGTCTCCGTGACTCGTAAAACTCGTACGTCAGAGTATTTCGCGGGGAATTTTAAAGCGTCGCGAGATCTCTGGCGTGTACTGTGGGCCAATGTTGATACAGTATAGCGCGCCTTAATCGGCTGGGCGGAGCGCCTCGAGTTCGGGGAAGCTCCCCGCGGGAAGATAAAAATGCTAGACCGAAACTTTCTTTATGGCTTTGACTTGTTCGACAACATTCTTGCACCGAGTAGTATCGTAATACGATTCTCGATCGGTTTCCAGCATTTTTTTGTACACTTTCGTGGCTCTAACAGATTTGGAAAACCAGTGAGAATCGCATGTTCGAAGAAAAGCGCATTTTTAGACCGTTGAGGGGACATTGAAATTTGTTTTATTCGAAAGAATTTATGTACACACGGTTTTACACGAGTTTTATTATTCTATATAAATTATACTACGTTTGACTTCGTTTGTCTATGCTTTAATTTTGCTTGCTTGAAAAGAATAACAGAAATTCATCTGGTATAAATTAAATTGTCACTAACGTTTTATTATAGTAAAACAATTCTAGATATCGAAGGGAACAAGTAAATTCAATAAGCGTGTATCGTGTAGGTGTTCCATCGTTAAAGAAAGAACCGTACTTCTTGCAGTAGTTTCGTAGCTTGACGTTTGTCACGACTCGCTCAAAAATCGTACAATTGACAGTGCAAGTGTTACTGATCCAATTACTGTTTTTATTACCGGAAATGGACGTCGTACGTTCTTCTAACGTGCCTTGTCAGTACAAGCGAACGTTGCTTCTACCTGACGAACGAAACGCGTTCCAAGTTCGTTCCACGTTTGACCCAGTTTGCGCGGGAAACGCGTCTCTTCGCCTTCGTCTCGTGATCGCTACTTTTTGACAACGTTCTACGAATCTCTTAGCAATTGAATTAAATTCCAACTTCCCTTGTTTGCATCAAATTTATTTGCTCGAACATTGTCAAGCTTGAACTTCAAAATACATACGTTGATAGTTCATCGTGTACTCCATAACTTGCTAATATATAAACAATAAAATAAAAATCATTTTGTCCATCTCGATGAGCGTCGTACAAATGAATTAATTTAAATTCGAGATCCCCGTTTCGAACGCGCGAGATCGAACGTCAAACTCGGCGCAAATCTTCCCGGGATTAAATGAATTCTAAATAGAACGAGGCTCCCGTTTTATCGCGGCGATTAATTCCTCTAATACGGGATTGCTCGTTGCTCGATGCGTGCAATAAATAAATCGCGTCGACCATATTTTTTCGGTCGCCCGTGTTTTGGCGCGATCTCGTAATTAATTTCGCGACACACGTCGGTCGTTGGCCGTTCGAATTCCAAACGCGGGCCGCAAAAATACTCTAAATGTAAATTAATTGCAGCTCCGTTTGGAAATTGGCTTAAGGTCCGGTCAAAGTTGGGCGATATTTTCGCGTTTGTTCCCGCGAAACGTCGACTCGATTGTCTCGAAGCCGTGGAAATTATTTTTAACACTGGTATTACTGTACTTTGGTGTATAAATATTGCATAGATATTGGAAATTAAGTAACATATGTGATAATTTTAAAGGCACCTGAAGACTCATTTTTCATAAGAATAAGTTACTGCAAACTTCCACCAGGTGTTGCTCGTAAATTAGTTTATATCACGCCGCCAGAGGGCTACGCTCTTGTCTCTCTCGCAAGCGCTCGACCAACTACCCAATATCCTTTTCCTCTTCACCCAAGCAACTTTTATAATTAGATAGTTTCAAATTTAATGTACGTCTTAAAACTGTATTACGAGTGGTACTAAACGGTAACAATAACCGCCGCCATCGCGCTGCAAAGTGACAGCCCTGGGGAACAGCAAAAAGTAACTCCCACGCAGTGGAATAATCTAGCTGCACTCTCGTGTGCAGCGGAACGCAAGCATGCAGTGCCTAATTTTCGAAGCGAGTCTACGGAATCGTAACTTAACGCGCTGCAGCCAAGATCGATGTTAGACGTTCGTTAGAATCTGGGATATACAAAGTGTCTCGTCTTAATTAATGCACTCGAGCTCCTCTGGCTTGCGTTTGGCCTTTTGATCTCAGACGATCCTGCTTTCACGGTGCGTCGAGCTCGTCGTAACGAGGATTATGAATGTATTTAGGCGACCTGATCCATAAGGTTCCTGCATAACTTGCGAAGTACGTCGCGTAACAATTGCAGCGAACCAAAGACCTCCCGTAATTTATTACCGCGCCGTGAATAACCGATTAATCCCGAAACAGACTGATTTCACGTGAATTCTTGTTCGTAGGGGTAATTACAAGGCCGGTTTGGGTCATCCTTACGTGGCTGGGAAGCCGTGTAGCATGTGCAAGGATCATTGCACGCGCAACAAACTCTGCACGAACGCTTGCTATTACACCGATCTATGGTCGAACTGTGCCGAGCTGGTCAGAACGTTTCCGGGCTGGGTCTGCGACACGAACACGAAAGAGGGCAGACAACGACGGTATTCTTGCGGTGCCACCTGCAACTGCAAGGATAAGATCTATTATCGTCACGGGTAGTGAACGATCCCCGACGTCGAGGGCCATTTTCGTCGAACCGGGCTGATCGATCGCCACCGACGCGGGATCTATTAAACACCAGTGGGTTCTTTTTTTTCCTTTATAGCACATTGTCGATTCATTACGACGTCAGCCAGTTTCCAAAGACTGAGTGTTTTTGTTCCACAGCGGCGAGTTTCTAGCAGAAAAAAAAAAAGAAAGTCTGACGTCGTTTAAAGCTTAAGTTCCGGAGTATGATAACGATCCAACGGTTTCCCTTTGTTATTCGTTTGTCCATTATCTTCCTGCGTTATTAAAAGTAAAACTAATCCGCATCGTTAACTTCGTAAAACAGTATCGTTATGATTCGCTGCGCAGAATTGGTTCCTCGAGTTTGTCTTTCGCCACAAAAATGTCTGCTTTTCGTTCGCATCAGGTGGGTTTGGTTTGAAAAAAACTGTTCGGTGTACCTTGCGTGGGGTCCTCTTTGAATACGTATTTGTACGATATTTTTCTGGTATTTGTAAAAATGTTTACTTGTTTGAGTGGAGTGGAACGGTAGATTTATAGTGGATTTAAAGTACAATACCGCGTCTGCTAGAGTTTCTATTTTAATTCGGGACGGAGTTTGATTTTCGACGTTTGATATGATCATTTCTATCGGCGGGCTCGCGCGTCGCCTAAACGTGGGACTAAAAATGTATAAACGTAAGTGGAAGCTCTATCTAAAACGTGTTTAGCGATGTAAGTTCTACGGTAGTCTGTGTATACAAAATATCAAGACGTGCAATTTTCTCGTGATGTCACTCCAACGTTTAACAAGATGCTTTCAGCATACTGTGGGCGCTTATGAATGTATGTCGGGCACGAAGAAAGCGATCCATTTGGTAAATTAAAACAATTACGTAATCGGTTTTACGTACACTCAAGGAAATTAAATTCTTAACCGTGATCGTTCGAATCGGGTCAATTTAAAATATTCGATAATCTTCATCGCGAACCGTCTTCGATGTTATTCAATTTATCATTAATTAGTATTATTTTTATTTAATCAGATAATCCACGATGGGATTGTAAATAAAATGGACGATTATTAGGGAAGGTTGATTTTGAAATTTTTCTTCGATTAAAAGGAATAATCTTCATCGCGAACCGTCTTCGATGTTATTCAATTTACCATTAATTAGTATTATTTTTATTTAATCAGATAATCCACGATGGGATTGTAAATAAAATGGACGATTATTAGGGAAGGTTGATTTTGAAATTTTTCTTCGATTAAAAGGAATAATCTTCATCGCGAACCGTCTTCGATGTTATTCAATTTATCATTAATTAGTATTATTTTTATTTAATCAGATAATCCACGATGGGATTGTAAATAAAATGGACGATTATTAGGGAAAGTTGATTTTGAAATTTTTGTTGGAGTAAAAGGATAATAAATTTTGAGTGTCGATGCATTCGTAAGTGCTCATAAAAAGACAATTTTCAGACGAAATGGTGTTTGTAACATCGTCTAGCATGAAATCGTTAGGTGGATAAGCATTGATTTGTCGTCGGTGTCCGTTTCCTGGAAGTGTATCCAACGTCCTTTTAAAATTGATTTGCTATTCGGTGCGTTTCAGAGGCAATATTTTTCATCGCGTTTCACGCTGTTTTTGATCCGTGACTGTAATTCAGATTTGCGTATGCGAGGCACAAATGAGAGAGGAACGTGTTAGAGCCGTGTACGAATGGAATAGTAAAATAGTTTTCGACTTTTCAAAATGGCGTTAAGGGAGTATTCCCAGTTTTTTGGGGGACATTCATTCAGAAAAATATATAAAACGTACAGAGTTCAACTTTCGCACGTGTACTTGTATTAATAATATGATTTTAATCAAAATATCAGACATTTTCAGTACAATTTTCGATTCATAATAGAAAGTGTTTTCACATTCTATAATAGAAGATTTTCTTTATGTATTAGGAAAACTCGAATAATCTACTTCGTTCTTAACCTTCTATAATTCAAATCGTATTTAGGTTTTGAAAAAGGGCCATTGACGAACACTAATAATTGGATAGAAATTAATTAAATAAACACAAACTGTTATTCAGCTTCCAGATTTCAGAATTACATATAACGGGTATGTGACTCTAAAATCGCTGTTAATAATTTACATATTTGTTGATTCTGTTCAGCACAAGTAAACAAAAATGAGAAATTGAGAAATGGGAATGCTCCTTTAAGAGAAAAAGAGCAGAAGAATTGAAACGAGCGTTGAGTGAGAGCGGAGTGTCAGTTATACATATAGTGTATAGAGAGTAGCTGGTAAGGTATATATACGTAACGAACGGCGTTAAATAAGAACAATATATGCAACACGTGAGACGTAAAGCTGTGTTTAATAGCAGACACTTAATCGTATTAAGTACTAGTTAAGAGGTTAATGTTACACGTAAACGATATAACGCGAGGCTGAGCTACGCAGACTCGAGTGGGACGTTGTAAGCTGTCATACTTTGTTCACTTAACGAAATAAAAATCCTGTAAATATTAATCGTCGCCTTCATTGCATTCGTCGTGCATGAATTCTCATAACACTACAATAAAATTGAGTTTCTTTATCGATGTAACAAAAATCTCAAAAAAAAAACCCACAGAAAATAATTATAATCGAATAACTTAAAAGCAAAATCTTAAAAGTTTCGTTTAAGTTGAATAAATTATTTTTTCGCGAGAAAATAAAAATCAGGATAGTCGATAGATAAATCAGATTAACTGCTATAGGGGATTTTGGTGGGAGATTAATACGCCTGGCAGTGTCTTCGCGACGCCATTATATTTATTCGTTACACAGGGAAACTGGAAGGATTAAATGGATTTCATCGCGTATAAATCGACTGGCATCGAATCGCGGGAAAAAGGAAATCGAACTCCCGATTACGCCACCGCGATCGAGAACGAACTTTCGTTTCACTTTTCACCCGGTTTATTTAGCTCGAATCTCTGAAAATTATTGCCATTGTTTTCAACAATCTGCGTCGAATGAATGGGGCGCGTCGAAGCATCGATTTACTAACCAAACGGAAAGGTCAGTTTTTATTTTAGGAGAAAGAATATCGTTCGAGGCTTTTGTCGGCGTCTGTTGCTAATTAAAGAACTATTATATCCAAGACAATAGACGAGGCCTAACAATGATTGCTCCAGAATATTATTTCGATCTTTCGACCTCTTTTTTAAGCCCCCGTATAGATTTCTTCGATGTAGTTATTCATAACACAGCAGTTTAATTTTAGAATTTTTTAAATTTCTCCAAAAGATTAGAAAAATTAAAATGGTGCTGGTCGATTAGAAAATTATACTCGTTACATTCATTATCGATATTAGAAAGTTTCCAGTGTTTTTCGTGCTAGATCTGAAATCTGAATTTTAATTAAAATATTAATGGATAGTCAAAGCTTTAATATTTCTATTTGTGTGTCGCCTGGTTCTCAATACTTTACGATTGTACGCGAAGAGGGTATTTTTGCGTCGATGAACGACCCAGTTAACTGGCTAAATTTGGCTGGTATTGAAAAGCCCGGGCACCTTCGAGGTTTTTACGAGGTTGGAAGAGCCTTCGAGAATGTTTAACAATTTTAATTGAAAGAATCCGTGCCGCGAAAGCACCGAAGGTCTCATTTGGTCGAACGAATCGACGTAAAATGAAGAAACGTCCAAGTTCCAATTAAAACAGACTCGACTAAAGTAATTAATTATTTACAAATTCGATATACATTCTTCGCAGAGTGTTCCAGTATTTTTGTAAATTGTTATTTTCAAATCTTCGAGCCCAGTCGTTCATTTCGAACGAAACACAATTGTCGAGAGATTTATTTTAATTATTAATCACTATGTTGCGTGGCACACCTGTTCGTACAACGCAGAATTTCCGCGTACCCACGCTTTGGAAAACTCGTATAGCATTAACGATTCGATACATACCGGGTGATCCGTTTGAAACACATTTTCGCTATTTCGTAATTGGAACGGTCCGATTTAATCGATAATGTCTATTGGCTGAGACACCAATCGTTTTAGTTCTGTCAATAGACGCACACGGGATAGCTGGAATTATTTGAACACACGCCACGGGTAGCATTATGTACACTAAAACGTATCATATAGGATGGAACGTTTCAGGCCGGTGATATGAAAATTGAATTTCTTCCAAATAGTGGGAGTATATTTTTTTTAGTGTTTTCTTAAAGATATAAATATCGCTTTTATCGTTAGAAACCGTTTAGTTTCCTCGGAAATCGATATTGTTTCTCCATTAAACCTTTTAAGCCCCCATTCACCTCTATAGAGTTTTAATTTTATGTTATGTCGTCATCTTACATTTCAAAATTGATACCATTTTTATAATTAACGTCCCAAAAAACCTTCATAACGACACCCATATCGATATTTAAGCGTATTTACACCATTGCAACGGTTTAATGATAAGATAATAATTAAGTACTTACATGTTAATTTTGAAATTTCTAAATCCATTTATAGGAATAAGGCAACTTTAATGCGAAATTAGTGTATCAATGATCATTAAGACCAAGTTTGAAGCAAATTCGACCACAAATAAAATATTCCTCGTACGAACGTTGCAACCCCTTTTCACCCCTTCAGAGATTGAATTTTTTAAAAAATCAGGATAAGTGTTTGATTAATTATATCAAAGAGTATTAAGACCAATTTTCAAGCAAATCTGACCACAAATAAAATATTCCTCAGACAAATAATGCAACCCCTTTTCACCCCTTTAGAGGTTGAATTTTTTAAAAAACCGGAATATGTGTTTGATTAATTCTATTAAAGAGTATTAAGGCCAAGTTTCAAGTAAATCCGATCACAAATAAAGTATTCCTCATACAAACATTGCAACCCCTTTTCATCCCTTCAGAGGTTGAATTTTTTAAAAAACCGGAATATGGGTTTGATTAATTCTATTAAAGAATATTAAGACCAAGTTTCAAGTAAATCCGACCACAAATAAAGTATTCCTCATACAAACCTTGCAACCCCCTTTCATCCCTCTGGGGGTAGAATTTCTTTAAATGCCGAAACAGGTGTTTGGTTAATTATGTCAAAGAACATTAAGACCAATTTCCAAGTAAATCCGATCACAAATAAAGTATTCCTCATACAAACATTGCAACCCCTTTTCATCCCTTCAGAGGTTGAATTTTTTAAAAAACCGGAATATGGGTTTGATTAATTCTATTAAAGAATATTAAGACCAAGTTTCAAGTAAATCCGACCACAAATAAAGTATTCCTCATACAAACCTTGCAACCCCCTTTCATCCCTCTGGGGGTAGAATTTCTTTAAATGCCGAAACAGGTGTTTGGTTAATTATGTCAAAGAACATTAAGACCAATTTTCAAGTAAATCCGACCACAAATAAAGTATTCCTCATACAAACATTGCAACCCCCTTTTCATCCCTTCAGAGGTTGAATTTTTTAAAAAACCGGAATATGGGTTTGATTAATTCTATTAAAGAATATTAAGACCAAGTTTCAAGTAAATCCGACCACAAATAAAGTATTCCTCATACAAACCTTGCAACCCCCTTTCATCCCTCTGGGGGTAGAATTTCTTTAAATGCCGAAACAGGTGTTTGGTTAATTATGTCAAAGAACATTAAGACCAATTTTCAAGTAAATCCGACCACAAATAAAGTATTCCTCATACAAACATTGCAACCCCTTTTCATCCCTTCAGAGGTTGAATTTTTAAAAAAACCGGAATATGGGTTTGATTAATTCTATTAAAGAATATTAAGACCAAGTTTCAAGTAAATCCGACCACAAATAAAGTATTCCTCATACAAACCTTGCAACCCCCTTTCATCCCTCTGGGGGTAGAATTTCTTTAAATGCCGAAACAGGTGTTTGGTTAATTATGTCAAAGAACATTAAGACCAATTTTCAAGTAAATCCGACCACAAATAAAGTATTCCTCATACAAACGTTGCAACCCCCTTTCATCCTTCTGGGGGTAAAATTTCTTAAAATGCCGAAACAGGTGTTTGATTGATTATGTCAAAGAGCATTAAGACC